ACCTTACTCAACCAACAATAGAGTACTTTTTCAGTTGAAGCAAACATCCCACAGATTTGATTGGAAGCACGTCAGTTTAGTAAATAGCAACGAGTTTGTTAGGTAAGACAGCAGAATAGCAGCATTCGGTTGAATCATGCGTCTACGTCATCTCTATCAAAGGTCCGAGGGAGGGAGGCCATTACTGAGGAATCGTCCGTTTCCGCAGCGCACCTACTTAGGTCAACCGCTCGCCTTGTCGAAGCAGCGAATTAAGACGTGACCTCTGAGACGCGCTGACCTATCGCAGCAATAGCGATTAGAGCGGGTTCAGAAGGGCCTACACCCCCATGGGACGATTCAATAGCATGATACAAGATGCATAAAAATATCTCATACGTAGCATCAACCGACTCAACCGAGTTGAAGGAGCCGTAACAGTCAATACCACTGAGGTAATCAATAAGTCCCTCCTTATCCGCTTGTTCGAAATCCCTACAAGTAAAACATTCCGGGTTATCGACGTAGTCATGAAGAGTAAAATTGACTTTAGCATGATCTTGCGCCCAGTGAGCAACAATTCTAGCGCCTGAAATAAGATGACATTCATTGGTAAAGAGTAAATCGAACTTATTGTGTCCCAGGATATTTGAACGCACCTCCTGTGAAAGCCCAAGTAGTTGACACAATGAATAAAATCCTTGGAAGGCCCCCCCCCTCATCGGGCCGTTGAAATCACCCATGAGTAACAAGCGACTGCCGCAACTATTAAATCCCTCAATGCCTTTATCAGTTGCTGTGTCTTTTCTGTAGCACATGAAGGAGACCTATATACCAAAATAATGCGCACTGCTCTGTAGCCAACAATATCCGGGCAAACATTTCGTAGCTCTCAGGTACGGACTCACTAAATATCAAGTAGGGGTTGAGATTATTTCTAATGACTGAGAGTACGCCCCACCCCTTTTTTCCTCACGGTCACACCTAAAAATTGAATAGGTCGCGAGACCTCCAAATAATGCGTTATCACTAACGTCATAATTCAACCAGGTCTCTGTCAATCTCACAAAGGACAGGTCATCATTATTCATATGGTATGTGAGGCTGTCAATGTTTCTGCGCAGAGATCGTATATTGGCAAGAAGGCATTTTGAAAAGTTTACCACAGTCCGCGAAATGGTTATACATTTAAATCATTTTGACGAGTAGGTTGTGAACGAGCGGACATAGCCTTAGATGAGAAAGACCTAGCATTTGAGGAAAGCTCAGGGTTGAGCCAGACTGCGCGGCGTACGCGGCGTACGCAGCGTACGCCGCGTACGCTCCTATGATGGAATATACCGAGCGTACGCTGCGTACGTCACGTCACCCGTATGCCGCGCACTCTGACTCAATCCTCAGTGGCACCATCAGTAAAACGGACCGCATTTACAGTGCGTCCAACTGAATCATTGCGACGAGTATCCCGTTCCCTCCTAAGTTTGTCCCTCTATTCCTTTGTAAGAGAAGGCCTTATATAAATCCCACGTTGGAAGCAGAATGACTTTATTTGGGGAGCTCGTCGCAATACGGCGCGAACAGAACAGGAACTAGGAAGAACCATTTTTACTAACCTATTACGATCACGTTGAGGTCTACTTAGTCACAAAGAGTGGCCTACAATCAATACCTAGTTAGTCGAATATCTGCTCAACACAAAATAGTCTTGCGTAACCCTAGCACTACATTTAAATCTCTGCTTTCGACAACACCAGCAATTACAAGTGAACAGCTTCCTTCCGACCTCCCCACAAGTAGGTGGCACTTTGTTCGAGAAGTAACGTCATGAGAAAGGGGAACATTCGGGATACGAGTGTCGTTGATGGATCTCAATCTATCGTTATTCTTTCGCAAAATATCAACCTGTTAACCCATGCTTTCAATTTGCTCATGCAACTCACAGTCAACCGTATTCAATTTCTCTCCTTCATTTCTTGACTCCAGTAGAGAAGCGATGATTGTACTTGCATAAGCGGGTATATTTTCATCGTTGACAAATTCGTTCGCTTCACGATCGAAACCAGTTGAAATTCTTGGCAAGGCATCAAATTGATCTTCCTTTCCTTTGATTTATCGATCGGCTGCAGTAGATAGGACGGCGACATAGCGGTAGACAGCCAGAAATCAGTGAATATGGGAATAAGGGCAGAGGTAGATGAATGCAGTCGAATATGAGGACTAGGTGAAAACGAAAATTTTATGACGGATGCCGGACTGGGGCTAGGACGGGATAAACGGAGGAACAGGGTGACAGGCTACCGCTCTTTGACGGGCCACACCATCGAATGTGGCAGGTCATGGCATCGAAGGCCGGTCACGGCATCGACTGACAAGGAAACGATACTCGGTGTCCGTGGCTTTTTGAGATGAGTTGTACACCATTACGCTCGTCTTGGAACGCTGATTCCGAATCTGGCTTCCGTTTCTGCTAATCGCTTCAAAGATGTTGTAAAGGATTGTGCGTGCTTTGTCTGTCCACTGAAGTATGTTCATTGCGGCAGCAGTGCCTGTGCGGTGTGGTCTAGTGGTTAGCGCGATAGGCCCATGAGTTGGTGCAAGTGTAGGTTCGAATCCTTTTGTGTTTTTCAGTTTTGCGTTGCCTCTATAAACCTTCCTTCGCATCTTCGAGCTAACTGAACGCCCTTACTCTTCAAAAAATGTGGAAATTTGGAATTTTATTATTTGCGTTAAAATGTATCCAATGACCATAATTCGAGTGAATCTCGAACAACTTTGATTGAAGTAGTGCAAAATGAAAACACAAAAGGATTTGAACCTACACCTGTATCAAGTTATGAGGCTATCACACTAATCACTAGACAATAACATGGCGCCGGTAGAGGCCGTTCTGGTGACCATACCCTTGGACGGATAAAGTTGGCTCGAAATTCCTCCATAACTTCCTTCACAGAAACGATTAGCAAAAACGGAAGCAGATTCGGAATCAGCGTTCGAAGGCGAGTGTAATTATACATCTCGTCTCAAAAGGCCACGGACATTGAGTATCGTTCCCTTGTAAGTTGAACCGATTTGTCGTCTGTCCTCTTCTTTCTTCTCTTTGTCGACACGGTAGTACAATTATTCTTATCACGGATATGAGTGATCAATCTGGTTCTCTCGACTATTTGAACAATTTTAACTACTCTGACAATACTAATACAACCATCATTACATATGCCAAATCATTTTTTTCAGCGAACTCAGTGGGTTCAGCTAGGGCCCGGCACGCCTTGGCCGAGAGCATTTTCGGATACGAAGTCTCCCATGACTTGGCGAAATTTTTCGAAGTCCCCTTTGACATCATATAGTAGAGAAGCCATTATTCAATCAACATAACGCCAAAAAAGCGAAAAAAGGGAGTTTTGAGGTTTCTAATATAACAAAAAAACATTCCGAGTCGATTCAATTCATGAGTATGGTACCATTTTAGCGGTTCAGATTGTTGAAAACCTCTTAGGCTAACCAAATCTGTAGCCTCAGGAATTTATCATTTTTCGCCGCACAGTTCAGAGGATGCCGCATATGATTGGAGCGCGATATCTATCGGTGCGTAGGTTTATGCTAATTCTGGCTCAAAAAAGCGGAGAAGCAATGGTTTGATTCGCTCTGTTCACTATATGATAGATTTTCGAGCGTTTCAATCCTCCAAGTCAAAAAGGTCCAAAACTTATGTGAACTCTTCAATATTTATGCTCCGAACCGACCCAGTTGGCTTGGTGTTGGTCTAGAAACCAACAAATTCGGGAACGGGTATTAGGAGACATAAGTTTTTAAAACTTTTTACATAATATCGTTTGGAGTGATATTATACGCACATAGCCCGAATTCGGTGCTATGTGATTGTTTGTCCGGCTTAAACAAGCCATTTGTTTGTTTGAGTCTTGCGTTTGAAATTCGCGCGCTAGCGAAAGAACGCGTTCAAGTTGTGAAATCTGACATGTTTGTCGATTTTTTTCGGTGCTCCTTCCAGTATCCGCAAAAACGTCCCCTTTGATTTTGACGCCCAAAAAACGAAGTTTAGTTTGACCTCAAACCAACGGTGCCGGGCTGTAGGTTCAGCAATCCGGTTACTCTTTGGGTTCGCAAGCCCACCAAATTTCCGTCCAGCTAGGTGGTTGCTGTAGTTTGCATGGGTCTTGTAAAACCTAGTTGCCAGACCATGCTTGAACACCAGCATAGGCGAGAGGTCGTCGAGAGGCACTATAGGAGTGATTAATCCCATTCAGTCATAATTTTCCCGATCAACATTGATGTTGTTTTCAGCGTCGCACTTTAATTTTAGCCAAAAGTACCTTCAAAAGGTCATAAAAACATATAAATGAGGTGCGCGCTCACTATCGCCTTTGAATAGTCTATAGCGTGACGGGACCCCACGTCTCCTGCCGCCACGCGTTGGTGTTCGAAGCGCGGCGCGGTCAACGGGATTCAATCCAGGACGCAGCAGCCTGCCGCAGCACGGCGCGCCCTGCGGCGTGCGCCGCTGCAGTTACTTTGAAATTATTCCCCCGACGCAGCACATTTTCGTTGGTTGTGTATGTATCTCTATATTTCCTACACTCCGTGTTCTCCGAGACTGTTCCTTCACTGCTTGCAATCCTTCCTCTCTTTTACCTCGTCTTATCGTTGATCGAAGGTTGATTCTTCATTCATGTTGAATTTGTGCGCTTCCTCGACTCAAGAAAACTTATTCCGCTCCAGTTTTTCTTCAGTTTTACTTTATCTCCGCCTATTAATATTGCTTATCAATTCGTTTTGCCGTTTATCCTTCAAAAGACTCTTCCCTGTATGTTCCGCTTTCGTCGCTGTTTCGCTATGTTTCGCTGTTTCTAAATCATTCGTTAATCCGAGTTAGATAAAGCGTGTTTTTTTTTTCAGATGAGTTTGGGGTGTCGAGATCTTTTAGCTGAAGAAATTGAGAACGAGCCAATATTATGGGATGCCAGCCATGCTGATTTCTACCGCAAGGATAAAAAGAACGCCGGATGAGAACGTGTCTGCAACCGTCTTTGGGATTGAGATGCGACTGCACAGGTGAGTGTTAGTAGCATTGTTGAAACAGTGTAGAACACCCTGTCATTTCAGTACCCGAAATCAAGGAGTGGAAGTCAATAAGGGATGCGCACAATAGGGATCGTTTGCGACCACAATTAGGATCGGCAGCGAGACCGATTGCCGGCATGCGCAGAACACTATCGTTTTTGAACACGTCTCATGTGTCAGGGTAAGTTGTTTCTGCTTTGCAGAACACAATCCACAAATATGTCTTTTGCAGGCCGCGAGTGACAAACATGGCCGATGATGACGACTATGATTTTCTTGACGAAATTGGTGAAAGTACCTTATGTTGTTCCGCACTAATTGAGTCTCTTTAGATCCTTTCATCTTCTTTACTGGGGCGAAAAAAGGAAGAGCCATGGACCTCGAAGAAGTCACTGGGAACTTCAAAGAAGTTCGAAGACACTCTCGGGGAGAGTGATGAAGTGGAACCGAGAAGCGAGTCGCCTCCCTCCCGGAAGAGAGAAGTAGGCGACTTCCTAAATCTTAAATCTTCCATATCTTTCAATAAATCTTCTACTTTCACATGCTCAGCTAATCGCCCCAGTACCCAACTCCGCTACGTTTGGCCCGCCCGTCTCTGCTTTCCATGACCATTCTTACGACTTTATCATATACTGGAGGACGTACTTGTGCCGGGTCTGTATACACTTGAAAGTCAACAAGTTGAGCACTGACATCATTTGTTTCTCTAATTATGTAAAAGCGAACGTCATCAAGTTTATTCAGAGGAACAGGCATACTGGTGGCGATCGCTTGGACGAAAGCCGCAGTTGCATTGGTAGCTGATTCCGAACAAAAGTGACATCAGACACACATTTATCTAGGTCGCAAACTTGAGAAAATGCTTACCAATGAGCGGCTCGGCCATTTCAGGTTTTAGATGGAACGATGAGTTGTACCACAACTTCTCAGCCTTATCGGCAACGGCCTCGAAAGAGTCAAAACGGGCGGTAAAGATTCGAACGAGGCACTCTATAGGAAAGTTCAGATCTCCAGAAGAAAGAACAACGAGTGAGGAAATTCGGTGCTGATAGTACCTAAAGTAATCTAGCTCCTCCATGGCAAATTAATCTCACATTGTGGTTCAGTGAGTGAGTAAATGTTCAAGTAAGGCAATAACAACAAATTTTAAGCTCGAAAAAATAAAATCAATCAGAACATTTTTCTTGCCCATATTAAGCATGAATACTCTCATTCAGCACTGTTTCCCTAACGTCGCAGCTTTCATTGTCCAGATATTTTAAAGCACCTCTAGCCACACTAACAACTCTCGGTCCGGTGTCTTCAGTATCATTGGCGAGAGAAGCCAAGTTGATTAAAGCCTGTATTCATATCTTCATATGGCACAAAAGGCTTGCTAATCTACGAAATTTTATCCTTCAAACTCAGACATGTGATTTTTACCTGCTTGGACGGAGCAGTGAGACTCCTCGCATACTATGTTAACAAGAGCGTGGCATACTCATTCATGGGAAGTTGCAGCACAGATCCGTCCTAAAAGCTGCGCCCTTTACAAACACATTCCCAAACCCAGAATGTTCACCTCCAAGAAACGCTTATGGATGGCGTTCTGAAGAAGCGTCAATGTTGCGTCCCTGATATTTTCGGAGTAGCCATTTGGCGGATCGAGTAGCAGACGAATCATTGGGCACAGTAGGGTTAACTGTGTTGCTCCAACGATGTCTTCTAAAACAAACAATGTTCCTGAAACTCATCAGTGTAGCAGAAGGCGGAAGAATACTAAAAACGGACTCAGAACATAAAGAAATAGTTGCTAACATCATCACCAGTCTCTACTACAAAAACACGTTCACTGAGCACTTGTAAGCTACGATGAGCTGATGACAGAGTTTCCTCTGACCAATTCGGAACACGCCAATGTGAGCCAATAACACGCAACATAGTGCTGCCGAGCAGTTCATCTATAGAAAATGATTTTACACATAGAGGACCACGAAATTAGCAAGCGTACCTGAGTCATCTTCCAAATGCGGAAAAGCAATGTCTCTATAAGCAAGGAACAGTTCCGTTGCATTCTTACTCACCGAATGCTTCGAGTTAATGGAATGCAAAAATAAATTGAAAAGAAGCTCAGGTCTGGAACATCAACTTTCGGTCAACGATGAAACGAGCTAAAAGAGAGGAAGGATCGCAAGCACTGAAGGAACATTCTTGGAGAACACGAACGTGTAGGAAATATAGAGACACACATACACAACCAGCGAAAATGTGCTGGCGTATAATATCAGAGTAACTGCAGCGGCGCACGCCGCAGGACGCGGCGTGCTGCGGCGTGCTGCGGCGTGCTGCGGCAGGCTGCTGCGTCCCGCGGCGTGCGCCGCAGCACGCCACGTCTTGCGGCGTAGTATGAAGGAACCCTTATATTTGCTGAACTTAACTGTTAAAACGATTCAAAGGCTGCCATGTCGATGGTTCATATGGAGATAATTCTGAGGAATGCACGATACCTATAAGTGCTAGCTGTAAAGACTGCATGAGGATCGACGTGACATCGCGAAAATTGTCGTGAAGTGTTTTTCCAGACTATGCGAGAAGCTCGGAATTATTGCGAAAATTCGAAGACATGATATTACTGTAGACTCATTAGAAAAGAACAAATTTGGTGAGTTGCCTTAATGTACGAAAAGGAAATATACACATCATTCTAAGCTTCACCTTTATTAAAAGGGTACAGTATACTTTGAACAGAATCGAATAAATATTCGAGTATTCGAATAAAATATGAAATTCGAATATTTAAAAGTTTCAATCTCGAATACATTCGAAATTTCCTATTAGAAACTTTCAATTCTGAATTTATTCGATTATTCGGTTAGTTAAAATTTTTGATTTTGAATATATTCGAACATTCGAATACCTACTTCCAATTGTTGTTCGATTATTCGACATTTTCGTGCAATCGAATAACCACAGCCCGTGTCAATCACGTACTTCTCACCTGGGACTAGCATACGCAACGCGAATTCCTTACGCGAGGACTTACAATCGATGAGGCTAATCTGAATGCGTAAGCCATACTCGCGCGAACGTGGCGCAAGGCTTTGACGTGTCGACTGCGCTTACACAAAAAGGAGTACGTAATTGGCATAGATTGTGCATGACAGCGTCACATTTTTTGTTTCCATCTCAGCATATATCGTTTGTTGTTCAAGATGCCCGCTACATGGAGTGCTTTATTGTGCTTATTTGATCGAATTTTTTTTGATCAAATAAGCAATTGAGAATTCGACATAGTCAATGCAAAGTAGTACATAGTCGAGTATTTGTTTATTCAATTGTTTTTCTCGAATATATTCAATCTTCGAAATTTTTTCGTTTCCAGAAATACTCGATATTCGATTACTAGACAATTTTCATACTTCGAAAATATTCGATATTTGACTACTCGGATGTTTCAATTTTCGAAAATATTCGATATTCGATTACTCGACATTTCCTGTTTTTGAAAATATTCCAAATTCAATTAATCGATGTTTTTGGTTTTCGATATTCAAATATTCGATTAAGAAATTTCGAATATTCCACAGTATAGGGTACAGTCCGCCTGGTGCGCACGCAGCGCCAGCACTCTGCGCTGCATATGCGCACTATCGGAGAGAGCGAGGAGATTCTAGAGATAGCAGGCAAGCAGGTCGTAGGCGTGACACAAAACCTTAGCGAATTTTAGCCATTGCGATTGGAGAAGTCTGTAAGTCAGCTGTGGATTGTGAATCGTTGGGGGGGGGGGGGGGAGGACGGGAGGTGCGATTGGCGCGGATTCTTTACGATGCGATGTCTCACCGCACAGCAATAGCACATAATCCAGCAGCCTTCTTGCAATCTTACTTATGGTATCGAATCATGTATCTGCTCTCACCCCCATTTCCAAGTCACCCGCCGTACCACTTTGGAACGGGAAAATTTGGGAAGAAGATCTGAGCGACAAAGCGGCAGCCGCTCGCGGCCTCCTGAAGTGCAGCCGAGTGCTTTTCAGAATTGCTTCAGCTGATTGAAATCTAACCTATGGGTCTAACCTATGGGAAATGCACTTGAAAGAAGAAAAAATACCGAGGAAGCCCAATGCGCGAGCAACTCGCGATCATGCAGAACCCATAAAATTGACCGCACGAATCCAGTTTCTCATAAAATTGTAGTGTTTTCATGTTCAAATAGGCGCTATCGCAGCGCATTCCACTTGCCTTTTACACGTTGATACAGAAAAACATATAAACAGTAGGACTACAGCTAGTAGGAACAGGCAACCCACAAAGTGTATAGATCATCTTTTGCCTCGCAGGAGTAGAAGTGTGAAACTGTTATGGTAAATGAAAACTTTGCCAACTTTGTCTGCCCCTACCAAATGTTCTCTTTTTCACTGCGGGTGGTGAGAAGGAAAGGGTTTTTATTATACGGTCATTATATTTATAATCGGTATGCTTATTTATAGTTGATTGCGCGGAATCGCCGAGGCTAAGCGCCTCGCGCGTGTCTCTTGCAGGCTAACATTGGCATTCGCGCGCATGAGTCATCATAGCGTCCGTACTTGCCAGCCGAGTTGCAGGCACGCTGGCGTGCGTCCAGACTATAACGATATGGGCAATTTTATGCAGTCGCCTTTACCCCCGTGTCAACTCCCAGCCCGTAGCTGAAAGTTTGCCAAAAATGAGTAAAATTAATAACGATCAACAGCGAAAAGTAGCCTACGACGCCCGCTTGCGTCGAGGTGTTTGTGTCCAAAGTCTGCGGGTCGTATTAGAAATTTGGCCATCTGCTAAATATTGTGGCCAAAACGACCTATCGTAAGTCATGTTGCAATAGGACGGGCGGGTTTGGCGGCGTTCCAGGAGTTCCCTAAGTCTAGCTGCCTCTTCTTGTACGAATACTCAACATCCAAGGAAATTTGGAGGCACACACACCCTTTACAGGGATGAAAGGCAGCTCTTCTTCTTGCTTCGTCCTCTAAGTGCGCTCATTCCGACCTGTATCCGGATCAGAGGTTTGAAGGGGGAGCCGGGTCCACCATAAGTGAAGGTGGTCCCAGCTACCACTGGCCGGCCAAAAGTGAAGGTGATAGTGCCGAACACTCACCTCCCAAAAACGTCGACGGAGGGGGGGGGGGGGCGTTAACGTCCTGAGCCTATCCTTCCATGTCGTTGCCGCCAGTGCGCGGAAAATAAGCAAAACAAACGAAAAGATTATTGAAAGCATATTTTTATGTATCCGGCGGCATATACAGTGACCGCCAAAAAGTTGCGGACAAGCCTCCCTCCCTTTTTCATCGCTCTTTTTCAAAGGGAAAACAAGGATAAAAAATGTAATAATTGCATGAGGTGAAAGAGCTCTTCAAGATCTACAGTCTACACTTTGCGTTTTTCGAAAAACTTGTATTCTAAAAATTTTAAAAATCTTTTTCTAAAA